ACCTGATGGATGCTGGAGTGAATAGGCCTGAGTCAAGAACATACTGCTGCTGCTTATCCATCTGGAGTATTTTTTATATCAGAGAAATTGAAAACATAAAAATGGATGGCACAGGAAAGATTAGAATTTGGGAGAGAACTGAAGGTCTGTATTTAATGCATTTCGAGACAAGTAATAGTAATTAGGAACTCAAGCAATGGCATCTGGGTAAAATTTAAGAGACTTGAACACAAAATTCGATCAAGTATAGGCGATTGCAAGAGCAAAAGAAAATGCAGTAACTAATGTTGGAGTCCTTTACTCTGATTCTTTTAGAGTGAGCTCTAACACTCAAGCTTCTCAGGCCAGGGACTGGCAAATAAGAGTGAATAAAATTTGCTGACTACAGTGAGAAATAGGGGCAAAGGCAGCCATGGAACAGTAGAACTCAGACTGGAAGGTAGGGCATGGCTGAAGCTAGCTGGGAAAGGAGGTGTGACAAGATCCCAGAACACATGCACAGAACAGTTCTCAGAGCCCTGTAAGTAGTTCTTGTGGAAACTTTGAGCAGGTTTTTGATAGGATGGCCTTGACCTAATGTCATCCTGAGGAGTGGATGATACAAAAAGGACAGTCCATATTGAGTTTTTACCACTGTGTTCTCTCTTGCACGGTGGCCCACCCACCTGCCTTAGGGTGTACTTCTTTCCCTAATTTTACTGGGCCCAAATTCACTCTGCAGAGCCTGCTTCTTTTCTTACCCTTACTAAAACTCTGCTACCACTTGTGTTTGTCTTGGACAATTCATTGCTTAGGACAGAAAGAACCTAGTAACCACTTCTAGAAAGAGACTCAGCACACAAAACCCATTAACAGAACCTCAGGTGCTTTGTACCATCATTCTTCATATCCCTCGCACTGTTTATTTTAGTCTCTAGTTGTAAGAATTGATAACTTTATTTATTTATTTTTTTTGGTACTGGGGATGGAACTCGGGTCTTTGCGCTTGCAAGGCAGGCCACTGAACCGCTAAGCTAAATCCCTGGGCCTAGGGATTGATAACTTTAGATATACTCAAACAAATTATTTCTCTGGTCAAATTTCCTTGTATATTTTCAGCTTACTTTTATAAAATTAATATTCTTTTATGACTTTTAAGGTCTAATTCAGGATCAAGCTTAACACAAAAGGTAAACTTATTTGATAGATGGAAGGGATATTTCAAAGAATCCATACAACACATCAGAGCATTCTGAAATCATGTTAGTATGTCAGCCATACTCAGTCAAAGATAAAAGTGGAGGGAAAAATGCTTAGATAACTTTGACAGAGGTCCCGAAAGTCTTTATGTCAGAAAAAATGACAGTTGTTGCTATCAAACATCTGTGTCAAAGAAATATTTTAATATTGATCTCCCAAAAGATTTAAAAAATGAAGACTTTGAAGGCCTATACCTTAAGGAAATTAATGGCAAAAGCATAGGATTAATAGCAATATCTTTCACTTGTTTTCATTTTTTTTTTTTTTTTTTGGTACTGGGGATTGAACTCGGGTCCTTGTGATTGCAAGGCAGGCCACAGAACCACTGAGCTAAATCCCTGGCCCTCTCACTTGTTTTCTGAGTATTAGTTTTCTGAATAATATAGCAACTCATCTGATAATAAGAGAATTCCTAACATTATAGGCAGCTAAACTAGGTAGAAATTAATAGACATTAAGACAAGGACAAGCCTTTGAGGAAGTCAATGCAGAAGATGAAAACATATCAAAACTGTGGCTGGAGGAGCATCTCAAGAAGGCAAGGTCTGGAGATAAAGTTACGGTGACTAGAATTGCATATGTCCCTAAAGGATGAGTGGAAAATTGAGATTATACTGAAGTCAGTACCACCCAGTTTATTAAATCGATATAGTAATCAAACACTTGGACACTAGACACTAGAACACCTGGACCCATCCCTTCCCCAAAATATTCCTGTTTCAGAGATCATTGATAAGCTGAGGTTAATGGGGCTAGCCACGAGATCTTGCTATATGCTCTGTTTCCCTGTTGGATCAATATTAGCTAGGTATACTTATAATTTTACTTGTCAACTCTAGTTTGACTTATGTTGTACCCACATTGTACCTTTGCTGTATAAATTATCCATGAAAAAGGGCTTGGTGGCAACCCACTTAGGACCTCTCCTGTCTCTCAGAAGCTATTCCTGTTCCACAGTGAACATTTCCTATTCTTCACCTCCTTTATCCTTTGGAATTAATTCTTCTTTGATTTCAGGAGCAGATCTAACATCTAGCAGGTTGGAAATTTTATTTCTCCTATATCATGAGCATGAAAGAATTCTGACTTTCTCAGGGACTTTATGATCAAAGTCAAATTTATGAGCTCACATATTCTGTGTCCTGCCTTTCTGAACATTGCAGGGATGGTGAGGTTGCAGTTATGTCATAGGATGAGCTTTCTTTTTCAGCAAGATAGGTGTGATCATTTCACGTGTTAATGAGCTATTCTAGAGCCCAAGATTGTGTCCATTACTGCCCTTGTAAATTGATGATTCTTTTGCTCAAGGTCCCTTAAGTGGAAGGAGCCCAATTATTTCAAGAGGAACTTTCAGAGTACATGGCCTTCAATTTTGCTTTCTTAATGCTTTTATTTTAATAAGAATAAAATGCTGTTGGTATCTATAGAAATTTGAAAAATAAACATCCTGGAAGAGTTAAGTATTAAGAGCACTCTAAAATTGGCCATAATTTCCTTTTCATGTTTAGGGACTTAGATATTACTGGAACTTCAAAAAACCGCCCTGATTCTTCAATCATTTATTTTTCTCAAAGTGGAAGCATATTTAGTCTTGAACAATTTAACCTTAGACTAAATACTCCATAATAGCCAGAGCGGGGGTATGACCATTCTTGGCCATGTGCCTCTTTGCAGAATCAGATCTCTCTTAACTTTTCCCTTAGATGTAGTTCATTTTCCTTTCATAATTCTTATGATTGCTACTTAATTGTCACCCATTCCTTGCCCTAAAATGGAAATACATGTCATCCAAATCAACAGAGTTTGTATGTGCCTTATAGCTTCTCTCCATTATTTCTATCCTGAAGGAACAACTCTTTAATTAGAGTATATCCAAAAAAGTGACAATAATAGTCAAAAATTTTCATCCATACAAATGAAGGTTGAAAAAAAGAGGATGGATCTGGTGAAATACAATTCCAGCAGGGTCATGGTGACTGTCTGCAATGTGAAAGGCTGCCTTGGGAAACAGTGTTTCCAAGTGTAGAACTAGAGGCAACGGATAGACAAACAATAGGGCAAAATAGAGATGCTTTCTAAAAGATTTTCTACATATAGAATGTGCTTCCTTGAAAAGGAATCTTATCCAGGATAAGCTGATAGACCACTTGGGAAGAAATTAAAGATGGATGAGTAGTTAAATTCCATGACATTTAAGTTGCTTCCAACCCTGGGAAGCTATTTGTGTGTGTGTGTGTGTGTGTGTGTGTGTGTGTGTGTGTGTGTGTGTGTATATATATATATATCACACATATATATATATATATATATTCTGCTCAAATTCTTTCATTAACTATGTATTAAAATAGAAAGAAATAATATTTCTGTGTGCTGTTCATCTTTCTCCTTGACTTATATTCCCACAGAATAGACTATTTTAATATTGCAGTCACCTTGACAACAGAGGCATCTGTTTTAATACTTTTCAGTAACATTATTCAAATGCAGTTTATAAAGGGGAAACGATCTTCATCATTATCTTTCTTTGCAAACCTCAAAGAGTCTAGGATTAAACATGTACTTTGAAATTAAAATCATTGTAAAGTTGCTGAGTAAGAGAACATCAAGTGTACTTATTTCAAAGACTGGTAAGTTTTCACTTAGCATAAAGTAGAACAAATACATTTTTCTTTTCTAATCTACATGAAAAATTTCAGTAACTCAAACAGCTCCCATTTTGCAATTGTCTCTAATTTCATACAATTCAATGCACATTTTTATACAATAAATTTTTGTGACTCATGGGAGAACAATATATATATAAAAGTTATTCAATGTGGATAAAAATGTCAAGAAATATTGCACTGGGGAATTTATCAGGCATAGTTCTACACTGAAGGAACTTTCCAACAATGAACACAACTTTGACTTAGGAACATTTTGCTTATTTCCAGTGACCTAAATTCTAAGAGCAGTAAATAACTTGTATTTCCGATGTATAGGTGCTACATCACATCCTTCACATTGACACAGGGAATAGGGTGTGGCAGATTGACTGGGGAAGTAGGCAAGACCTGTTAAATGCAAAATCCCAGAACTTAAGTGCAGAATAGTTCCCAAAGCCCTGCGTGTGGACTCCTTGGAAAACTGAAGCAGGTCTCAGATAGGATGGCCAAGACTTGACCTGAGAAGTGGGTGATACACCAAGGACAGTCCCCACTGAACTCTCTGCTGCTCTGTTCTCTGTGAGTAGCCTGCTCTTGTCCTGTGAAGTATACTTATTTTCCTACTTTTAGTTGGTCCAAACTTGCTCTGCAGAGCTTGCTTCTTTTCCTATCTTTAATGAATATAAAATCGTGCTACCTTTGGCTCTTTGTCTTGACCAATTCTTTTTTCAGAACAGAAAGAACCTAGAAATTACCTAGAGGAGACTCCAGCACCCCAAAACTGCTAACAACACTGATTGTCGAATTTTATCCTTTTGACAACTAAAAAGTTGATATAATTTTCCTTATTCTATATATCAAGAAACTGACAGTTCAGAAATTCAAATATTGTGCCCAGGGTTATACAATTTACAGAGCAAGAAATCCAAGTTTGACTCTAGAGCCCGAACTCCATTGCTGATGCCGTCTGCTTCCATGGCCCTAATGCTAATGTTGTTATTTCATTTGGGATAAGTTTGTGTAGTAAATTTTTTTTTTAATTTGATTTTGGTTCCCCAGAATTTCCCTACCATTGTACATTGAGTGCATCACACAAACATGGAAAGTTACACTCACCCCGTTTATGAAGGAGAACACTGGCATGTCGACGTCCATTTCCATTTTCAACATAACAGGAATAATTTCCCAAGTCACCTTCTTCCACAGAGCTCACAATTAAAGAGATAGAAACTTCCTTTTCCCCAAGATGTTCCTTAAGAATTCTAAAACATAAAGCAAAACGAAACAAAAAACCCCACACAAACATACAAATACACATATACACACACAAAGAAAAAGAAATGTAGATGAATCTGAATTTCATGTGAAAATACCTTTGCAATCTGCTTTAGATTTGGCTATGGATTGATGTTATGTTAATTAAATTATATCATGCCATTTTCTTCACATCTAATGAGGAAGCTTGTCTTTGTAGATGCTAATGAAGTTGCAGTTAATTATCTCTCTTAGCAGGACAATCATACTGTCATCATAGGGAGGTGAGAGAGACCTTGAAGAAAAGTTTACACACTGCTTTTCTTTAAAGAAGAAATATGATGTAAAGTAATATAAATTCTGACGTCTTAGGATGGATATTTAATTACATATCAGGTTAATTTTGTAAAAGATAGATGGAAAAGAAAATTTTGGAGCTATTTTGACATTTCAACTGAAATCTCTAGCCTGACTCTTGTTAATGATACAAACCGGTTGTCCATTTTTAAAGAAATATGAAATTATAAACCTGCAGATTAAAAGTGTTCATAGGCATTTAATTCTGACATTTAAAATGAATGGTTAATGCTTATTAACCTGTCAAAGATTTTATAGCATGTTCTCAGAATAAATGGAAAGCTTCTTTAAACTAAGACTTACTTTCCCTGACCTTAATGTTCCTACCTCTGTCTTCCTACCTGTACAATAACTCTGCAGAACACTTCTCAATGTAGAATTAAAAGGAAAAATACATTTCTAGAACTTTCCTTGAGCACACACTATACTATAGAGCGCCAAACAATCCAGAGATTTATGGTCCTTCTTTAATTTTAACAGTTGAAAGACTGTGGGTAAAATATACAGGAAACCCTCGAGTTATGAGCAGCCTGACATACAAACAACTTGGGTTATGACCAGAATACTAGTTGTAACTTATGACCAAAGTCTTGATTTACGACACAAATGCCAGCCACTTGTGCTTCCACATAGTCTGATACAGATTTATCCTTAAAGAGTTCTGAAAAGAACCTTACAACATCCTTTTCTGTGTGGGGTTAATTGAAAAATCCCCATCAAATGTCTCTCTAAGGACACTGAGATCTGCCTGTATACAGGAGAGAGCATTTGAAGGCCATGAAGAGAAACATGAACTTTCAATTGACCAACTTGAGCTACAACCAGCCCTTGCAGATGAATTGAGTTTGTAAATTAAGGGTTCACTGTGAGAGTAAAATTTTAAATATGAATAATGACAGAGGAACATTTTTACTGTGCATTGGTAAACTGCCCATCTGAGCCTTCTAGAATTCAACTGGAACACTCTAGAGTGAGATATTCTTGTATATTTATTGCTGAAAAGAAGATCATAATAGAAATAATCCTATATGATACTTTTATATATTTTTGTTTTCTAGTAAAAACATTTCATTTTATGTCTTTGACAAAGTTTTAAGATTCTTGACATTTAAAGGGGGAATCATGGTTTAAATGTATATCAGAAGTTGTGATTTTTAGGCCAGGTGTGGTGATGCATGCCTGTAATCCCAGCACTCAGGAGGCTGAGGCAGGAGAATTGCCACAAGTTCCAAGTCAGCCTAGGATACATAGTTCAAGACCAGCCTGGACTACATAGAGACATAGAGAGACCCTGCCTCAAAATAACCAAAAATTTTTTTCTCTAATATGCAATTTTAGATAGGAGAATGTTTAAAAATGATCATTTTCCGTAGATCTGATATGATTATAACTTAGCTATAATTATGAATGTCTTTTCTTATTTACATTATGATTAATAATACATATTTGGAAGTTGGGTGTGTTGGGGTATGCCTGTAATCCCAGAACTTGGAAGGTTTAAGCAGGAGAATTTTCATGAGTTCTAGGCCATTTATGCTCAAGCATAAATTTAGTCACTACTGAATAACTTCATACTTAAAGTAAGTGAATAAATATATAAATACACTGGGAGAAAAGCGATGCTTAGTCATTATGCTTTCAAATAGTATACTATATGTTATGATACACTATAGTATATGTTTATTCCTTTGGTATCATTTCCACTATATAAGTATTTGGACACTGAAAGTTGGGCTAGGAAAGGTGATGAAAATGTTTTGTATGCCCATTGTCACTACATCAAATGTTTTACATTCTACTTGGTAGCTTAAATGTGCAAATACATGTAAACAGAAATGATAGAGATTGTGTTTGGTTGACTACTTGTTAATGTTCATCTCAACAATTAAAGAAAAACTTCTACAAATGAATGGCACTGATTTTTTCCAAAAATAGAATGGGTTTTTATATTTTATAATATTTTGTTCTCATACTCAATATATTCATTAGTGAAACACTCCTTTTTAAAGTTTTCTTGAATTCACTGCAAATGGCATTCATATTTTGCAATTCCAGAGTTAGTCTCTTAATAGTTTCTTTGACATTAAATACTATATTTTCCATTACAATAATAGAAAAACCAAAAAGAAAAAAAAAACTTGCTTTATCTCACTTTTTATTTGCTCACAGATCAAATGTTAACTTGATCATACAAATTAGAAGAAAAAAAATTTACCTAATATCACTTTCCCAAACTCGATTTTCATCCAGATCTTCAATAAACTTCTCTCCTTTCATCCAGTAAATTAAGGGACTGACATCTCCACTGTACCCAAAGAAAGCTCTGCAGGTTAGATTAGCTGAGTCACCTGTGGAGAGAAAAGATGGAAACGTGTATAAAATTATTTCTACACTCTTACTTTATGCAGACTGACAGGTAACATTCTGATCATTTTATTGATTTAATGAAACATCTTCCTAAAAGAATACTTTTTCCAGATTTTTTCCAACCTTTGTCAAATTTACAGAATATTTCCTTTTTATTGTATGGCTTGTTTAATAGGACATGGGTTATTTGTAAGATTTTAGGAAAGATCAGTCACTTATATTATAGAATGTTCTGTCAGTTAGGCTTACCTGATGTTTTGTCATCATTAGATTGAGGCTATATATTACTAGGAAGAATATGATAGAGAGGATGTCTTTTTCAAGGCATGTTTTCAGAAGCTATGCAATACTGATAATGATAAAATTTTATAAGCCATGTAGAAAATGAGTGAATTTGGGAAGTAGAGAGGTAGCACAATCTGTGGCTTGGAAAAAGAGAAAGTGTAAATTCAATAGCCTAAGAAAGTATTATTAAGAAATGTTTACTTCATTAGGAATAACATTTTAAGAAAATTGACACGTATATAAAAGTACATTAAAAACAAGTCAATCACAGGACTGGGGATGTAGCTCAGCAGCACTGTGGCTGCCTGCCAAGTGCAAGGTCCTTAGTTCAATCCCTGGTAGGGCAAAAAACAAAACAAAGCAAACAAAAAAACCCCAAAGAAACCCAACAACAATAAAAAATGAATCAGTGATTATAATAAATACAGCATTTCTGTCAGGTAAAATCAACAAAACTACTACACAGATGAGTTTCTTTCACTATGCGCCTAAAGACGGATCATAATGGTAAATACCAGTTGGTGGATTACTGAATAAGGTAAGTAGAACTCCTTCCCTATAAGCTGGAAGTGCTTTTAGTGCCTGCCAAAGGTAAAGTTGATTTTAGGGTATCTTATGTCATTTTACAAACACTTGATTTGCCCAAACCTTAGCCAGTATTACAGAACTGCAATATACCACTATGTACAAGATTTTTCTCCAAGCGGTACCTTTGCTGGTATCTGAAACAACCCCCACCTCACTGCTGAAAATTGAACCCAGGAATTTTGGCATGCAAGACAAGTGCTGTAAAGCTGAGGTACATCCCCAGACTGCAGTTTTTCTCAACTGTATGCAAAAACAAATTATGAGAATATTGTTAGCCAGTCCTAAAAACTCTGTGACCTTAAAGTGCAAGGAAGTCGGTTCCTAACTTTGGGCAGCTTCAGAGCTAAGCTATGAACTGGTAGTGAACACCTCTTTAAATTGTATGTATGAGTCATTCTACAATATAAGTACAGGGAAAAGTAGAATGCACATATGTGCAGTTTTTTTTTTTTTGGTACTGGGGATCAAACTTGGGTCTTTATGCTTGTGAGGCAGGTACCGGAACCACTGAGCTAAATCCCCAGTCCTTATTTTCACTTTTTAAAAGAGCAGTTATGTGTATTTTTTAAACTTTTCTACAAGTTACACAAGAAAACATTTTTATTGCACAAAATTAATCTTATACTTTTAATAATGTTGAGTAAGTATGATGAGTTCATAAAACAACTTACTCTTTTAATATTTTAAGGAGGCATATGTCTTTTTTGCAGTTTATGTATGCATATTTTCCAAGAGATTTCTCAAAGACTTTGGTTTTATGTACAATAGTCATTTTTGAAGACTAGATGAGGCAGGCCCAAGTCCTCGTGCTGCCGCACATAGGAAATAACTCATCATCTATGTAAAAACAGTGCAGTTTTTCAGTTACTATGCCTCACGTGGTCTTTGGTCACCAACTTTATCCTGAGCTCCAGTACAGAATGTATCTACAGTGCCACAGGAGAAGTGAGGAAAACTGCATCCAGACTTAGGTTGGGTTTATTGTGGGGCAGAGAATAGAATTAATGGAAGGAATAAATGATGATGAAAAGAAAATAGAAAAGTACTCCGTGCAGAGAAAAAGGAGCACCAGTAAGAGTAGCCTAGGGGAAATTTGGAGGAAATTCAATGACTTCAGAGTTAAGTATTCCTGGGCGTTGGGAGTAAGGGGAATATTTAAGAGAGAATAGAACATTGATGAGGCCATTGAATAGCAGCTCTATTTGCCTATGTAAACTATGTTGAGGAGTTAAGATTTTCATTCAAGCACAATGGAAAGCTGAGGAAAGATTTTTAAGAAGTGGACTAATGTAATCATATCTGCATTCTAAGCAAATCATCTTACTGTATTTTCAAACTTGGGATTGGATCAGAGAGCAGGAAAAAAGATTAAGACTATTACAATACTCTGAGATAACATAAGAAAGAGTCACAACAAAGATCAGAATTTTTGACATAATTTCTTAAAAGAATGAACCATAAGTGGTAATAATGTCTGCAGAACCTTATTCCTGTTAATCAGTGTGACAATAGGAAACATCTCAAAGCAAGATTAACAGCCTGATAAGACAAAGTATATTTGATTTATATAAGTTATAGATGACAGATTTAAAAATGAGAAGGAAGAGACTGATTTTGGAGAGCTGCCAACTGTTTCTCTGCACAAGTAGGACTTAAAGGCAATCTGGGTAGTACTGTTTTGTGAAGAGGTTTTTCTAAATTGTTTGACTCAACTCTGATAGTAGGCAGTTCTTCAGGAGTTTCGTAGAGTCAGTCACAAGAAAAGGCCAAGTGGTCAAGCTCACACTTCAGATTCCACCCAAGGGCCTAAATGATGTTGGGAAAAGCTTGGTCTACCTGGTGCTTTTCATTTGGGTAATAGTAACTAATCTAATGGTGGCAAACCTCTGGCATGTGTGTTACTTGTTTTTCTTTCAAGACAAAAGGTATGAATGAATGAGTGGTTTTTTGTGGACTAAAACCTCAGTACTCAGGTTTAATCACAGTGTTTGTGCTTTGGGATAAGTAAGAGGGCTCTGGGTTGTACTGTGGGACTCCTCTCTGAAAGGATAGCTATCACTCATCAAATGACCTCAGAGCCTGATTGTGTATTTATTACCTTGCATTGAAAGGAGGGATGCAGTATCATCCCTTTCCCATAGGCTAAGTACTAGGAGTTAGTAGAAATTTAGGATGCAGAGTAGAAGCAAGCAAGAGATGATGCACATCTACCCAATAAGGGCAAAGAAATAAAAAAAAATTGATAAAGGCAAATAGTAATTAAGAAAATAGAAATGATATGATTGATTTTACATTAGGGTAACAAAGTAGTATATGCCTATTACATAACAGGCTCTTAGCATACAAATATTAAGAGTGGCAATTCATGATTCATTTCATATTGTAACACTTTTTAACATTATAATATTTTGAATTCTTTTCATTTGCACCTAGCACACACCTCATCTATTAAGTTCCAAATCAAATAGCACCTTCCTGAAAAACTGATCTGCCTTTTCAAGAAATACTCTATCCCTCTGCCCTTTCCTCTCCCATATCTTTTGAAACACACTTGTATTTTGGCATAAGTAAGCCTTGCAGTATTTGGTTTGCTTGCATGTCTAACCCAGCAGAGAAAGAAATTATGTCTTTCCCCAAAGAAATAAATTATATCTTTATCTACATTTATATGCAAAGAGCCCATAAAATGTGTTGAATCTATTAGAACTCAATAAACAATTTCAAATTAATAATCTTTAATATTTTTGAACTTGCACTTCACTTTTTTCCCTTCTTAAAAGTTCCGTACATAAGATCCTAATAAGATTACTGACATTTAGAAATGGGAAGAAAGGAGCTAAAGGTGTAGGAAAGGTGGGATGGGTAGGGGAAGAGTAAAAAGAGAAAAGAAAAAAATGTGAGACAATGAAAAGACGAAAATAAAGTGTTTGTAGATGGGGAGGGGAGGAGGGGGGGAAGGGAGGGCAGAGGTAAGGGGAAAAAATGAGAATCAAGACTTGTCATGTAGAGGTACAAGGTCCCAACAATGAATGTAACTGTACTGTATCCCTAAAATGTACCAATAAACCTAATTAAAGCTGAAAAAAAAGTGCCATTCATTAAAGTTGTCCTACCTGCATATCACAATAGGCCAAATCTACATTGTAAAGGAGCTTTCACATTGCAAATGCAGAACTTCCTCATTCAGATGTTATTTCAGTGGTGTGTTGCAGCTGGTTCATACCAGCTTGCAAGAGTTAAGTACAAAAATTTCAGAAATCCTCTAAGTGGGTTGTTAAACACAGTTAATAAAATTAAGTTATGGGTTAGGGGTGTAGCTCAGTGGTAGAGTGCTTGCCTAGTATGCATAAGGCCTTCAGTTCCATTTCCAGCAACACAATTATAGGAACAGTATTAAATAAATTATATTAAAGTACTAGATACTCAAAAGTCAAAACTTTCTATTTATTTTGCTACATTGTACTATTACCTATGATTCTCAGATTTACAAGCGTAATATCTATATGTTGAATATACTATTTAATGGTATACTGGTGTGCATCTATTTTCCACTATGTTTAGTAACATTTTGTTGGTGACTTGAAATTAGCCATGGTAGGTGTATTTGATGTAAACCAGGTTAACAATGTATTATTTTTTTTTGTCTGTCTATACTTACGATAGCAATGGAAGAATTTAAATACTGGAGATTATTCTAAAAAGCCTATCATGTCTATAGCTGTTAGAGTGGGCATAGTAAAACCATCAAGAAAATATTCCAATATAATATTAGGCAAAAGAAGTCCCTTACGTCACTAATAGACAAATGACATTCTGACCTATAGTTTCAATGTTTTATTCTTATTTGCTAACATGAATGAAAATATTGATCACATTCATGGCAGAACTACATTTGCAAAGCAATATTTAAACATTTACTAGCATACTACTCTTTATAGAATTGCTTCTTTAAGATGTAAAATGCATACTTTTAAAAGCTATGAGATATAATTCACATTACATAAACTTACTCTCTTAACCTGTACAGTTCAATAGTTTTCAGCATATTAACAGAACTGTAAAACCAGGACCACAATCAATTGTACGGTACTTTCATCACCCCAAGAAG